TATGGGTCCGGATCTGATTTTGAGAGGTGGGGGAGGTGGGGGTTAAGACCGAAAAAAATCGGGGGTCAAGACGGGGAAATGTGATCTCCGGACTGATGAGCCAGAATCTCACATCTTTTTCTGTTTTCAGATAGCCCAGAAATTAGCCACGAGCCGCCGTGGGTTGTTACTTTGCCTGTTGTTTCTTTGGAGGGGTGCAGGCCATAGGTTTTTTCCCGCTGCCTTAGCCGCAAAGGTGGAGCAGAGGCCTGTTCAACAGGAAAGTCTTGCTGAAGGGCTTACTTACATGTTGGGGGGTCATTTTGTGCCCCAGGGGACAAGGACCCCCACAAGTGGGGGGGTGGCGAGTTGCTTTTTTTGAGTTGGGACACCCCAGGCTTAGGGAAGCCACGGAAAAACAAACTTCCAGTCACTCGCAAAGGCCGAAGGTACTATCAAGTCTCAACTGATGGGAAACCAGGCGCATGGCCACAGATTTTATGGTCCTCTTTTTTGTTCTTCTTCTTTTTTTCCGTTCAGCATGATGGCGGATCTTGCAGGTGCTTTTTTTTGAGGGGAAATCCAAAAGGATTCGCAGTTCGAGGGATAGGGTAGTGGTGAGTAACCATGGTAAGTGTGTCGTAATGAGAACCCCGGATCAAAAAACCTCTGGTTGCCGAAAAAGGATGTGTCCCCTTTAAGTGGCGATTCAGACTACTTTTGGAGGCTAATTCACCGGGGTCAACATCAACCGTGATTAGCCACTTACCAAGCACCCAGCCCCGGTTCGTGTTGTTTTGGCGGCGTTTTCGCGGACGTCCGCTCACAAACGCGGCCGAGACCATCCGCATGGTCCCCATCGGGAGCGAGGCTCCAGAACTGCCCACGCAGGACTTAGAACTAGGCGGCTGCGGTCTCTTCCATGAGGATTTCTTGCGATTCATATGCTGCTATGGACTTGGAGAGTGGCCACCAGTCACAAGTGATTGGTGCCCTTTCTGGTTGGTTCCAGGCCTGGGTGAGGCATCAAACAAAACTGAATGAATAAGCATCAAACAAAACCAGTTTCTAAGAAACCAGAGCAAAATACAGCAACGAGCCTGGACGCTGCGGTATTAGGGGCGGGTTCGGGGTGAGTTTGTGGGATTGACCACCCCGAACCCAAGAGGCCCCACCTTGGGTGGGCCATTTTGGGTCGAGGTTGGGCGTCTGGGATGGATGCGTTGTACCTCAATTTATTGGGAGACCCCCCTCTTGCGCTGTATACCACCGTTAGGGGTACACCGTCGGACATTCATGCGTTCACAGCCCTTGCCCTTAATATCATGTATGGTAGAACAAGTTTGAATGCTTGGTTTTGGGTATGAGCTTCAGTTGGGGACCCTTTTCCTGCGCATCATTTCCGTGGTTGTCCTTTGAATCCCTGCAACAGCACTCAACACGGGTACGCAACACAGCATATTCGTCCACTTAAAAAAGGCCTTTATGCTGCCTGGCAAGCTATAGTACCTGGCATACGAGCCGTCATACCTCTCAGACCCATACCTGAGGGGAATGGGGAGACTTTGGGGACACTCTGGGGGCGATTAGAAAAGGGAGCCAACGTGAAACTGGCATTTCTGGGCACATGAATGGTATGCATTTTTGCAGATTGACATGTTTCACACGATTACTTTTTGAGCCAACCGTTCAAGTGCTCACATGCTGATCTTTGGTGATTTAGGGTGCGTTGGTGAAACTGATGACTCCTTTGGGTAGGGTGCTGTGGGGTTGGTGGGAGGTGGTGGAGGCTCATTTCACTGAGCGTGGCTCATGTGAGGCTTCTTTGTTAAGCATGGAGAGGATGGTTCACAATTCCTTCCATTTGCTGAAATGAACACTTGTTGCTTTCCCTCTTTGCTTTTAACGGGAACATATTTCACTACTGGACATTTTTTCTCATTTTTGTCAGGGGGCTTAAGCAAATGGTTCAAACTTGGGGATCATGTAATTTTGAACAAGGCTGCTTTCGTATCAACAGTATTGAGATCTGCATTCTGTGTTGATTCACCATGTGGGTAGCTCCGATGCCGTGGGTGGCTTGCTCATTGTCCTGAAAAACCACTTTCTCGTCCATTGGCTTCTGCGGCACCTTGGAACTGGGGGCCTTGTCCATTGTAAAGTTTGGACCGCTGGGTGCCCTGTTTCAGGTTGATTAGGGAAATTCCAAGAGGAACACCGTCGTGCATCACCTGGCCGTGGAGTTGGCCATTAGTGTTGACCCCAAATTAATCAATCCCAGCTGATTAATAGGGGGGATTTCCGCTCCAAAAGTGGTCTGATTCCCCACTAAACCCAGGGACACCGGGCCGTCTCTTAACTTTGGTGCATTTTGCTTGGATGTTAGGACTTTAACTTTTTGCCGACTAATGGGTTTTCCATTAAACCACTAAAAGTTAAACTTCTAGCAGGGGAGCAGAAAGCAACCAAGTTAACAAGCTGGGGCTGATGAATCTGGGGTCAGCAGTACTCCCTAGGCACGACCGCTGCGTGACCACCAAACGCGAAGGAGTTCGACGAGGCCACGGGTCAGGACGCTCTTCAGGCCAACGCGGAGCTCTTCCGAAGGTTGAAAAAGGAGGCGCGGGTCGGTCGAGAGGCTGAGGAAAGGCCGAGGTTTCGCTTGTTTGTTTCTTCTTTTTTTGGTTTTATCAAGGTTCCACCATTGTTCATAGGTTTGTCAAAGGCTCCAGTTTGTTTTTTGTTCAAAGGTGGGCGAGTTCTCGACTTACAGGGCTTGACACCCACCACACATCCTTGGGCGAGTCGAAACAGGGATCCAGAAAGCCGTGGTGGATGCCCAGCACCGAGCAAAGTAGCATGGAACGCCTCCCCCCCGCAGAAAAAACAAAAACAACAACAAACAACACCAGGAGGTCTGCAGAATATTCCGTAAACACCGTCGCCATTTGAGCGTGAACTTCTTTGAGGCTTACCCTTTTTATAGTCTTGAAGGGTTGTTTGATCCCGCATTATGGTCGTCACTTGCTCAACAAGTGTGCTGTCCACATCCACGACTCTATGTGATCCTTTAGGCTGAAGGAATGGGTGTGTCTTGTTCTTTGAGGGTACCCTTTTTGGATGGTTCAAGGGAAAACCACCAGGACACCACTTAGTTTTGGGCCGGGGTCCCCCTATTTTGAGACAACACATAAAGGTTTGAATCTTTGTCCTTTCGAGGCTCAGTACTCGGTACACTTCTTGGATGGTCTTAAAGGGAAACCAACCATTTTGAGGGTCCGGTTCCTAAAAAAGGGGACCCGAGAAAAAACAAACATAGAAGCCATGGTTTCGGGCTTGAAGTCCAGGAGCAACTCGAAAGCCCGAAGGGTCCAATCAGAGCTTGGTATGCAGAACCCGGTGTCCCTTTACCGCACTCGGGTTTTATCGTTTGAAGGATTTCAGGGGCCCGTGGAAGAGAAAAAGGGCCCCTGCGACTTGTTGAGTTGGTGTCCTTTGTGGGGTTGGTGCAAAGGGAAACCACGAGGAAGCACCGAATCATTCTTTGGGCCCCCCTAGTTTGGCACATACCCAAACGGAGGTTTCAGGGTCGTTTTGCCCGAGCCCGAGAGGCTACACTTTCAGGTCCATTTGAGCGGCGCGTTTTTTGGCCGCAAGCTAATTTAGTTGGGAGGGGGACATTATTATTGAAAATATGCACCGCGCCGCACGCGCGGAAGCATGCGGAAGGCTTCGCGGAAGAGATTTGTTCGCGGAAGGTTGGCGGAAGCTTTGTGGCTGACATGAAATTAGATGTTTCAGTGCGTGCATGGAAAAGCACGGAGAAACAATTATACAGTAGAAAGAAAAAGGTGTTGCTGCGTACAAGCAATGCAAAGCTTACTCGGAGAGCAGTTGCCAACAGCAAGCCAAGAAGACCAATTCAGCCGGCGTATTTCGCGGAAGGTTTGCGGAAGCTTCGCGGAAGCTCCGCGGAAGGATGGCCCCTTGTTTGCAGGCAAGTGGCCACTTATCATGGGTAGCCCAATGGAGCCGCGGCGAAACACTACCTTACTTAAGATGACTTTCCTTTCTGCGCCAATAGTCGCGGAAGCAAATCTTGCAAACCATTTGCCGCGGAAGGTTTGCGGAAGAAAACAATGAAACACATGTGCCGCGGAAGTTCGCGGAAAGGACCTCTTGGCCCGCGGCAAGGATGCGGAAGGGTCCGCGAAAGCTTGAATAATGTCCAAGCAAGTTTGTAGGGAGTAAAAACAAACTCCCATTTGTCCAAAACGCTTGCACCAGAGTGGCCCCACGGGGAAAACACGCTTTTCATGGAGTTTCAAATCTCACTAGGTGTTGTTGACCCCATATTAATCAACCCCGAGTTATTAATAGGGGGTGTTTTCTTCTACAAGTGATGATTCCCTACTAAACCCAGGGCCCCCCCCCTCTTAGACGAATAAACTGGGGTTGATTGATATGGGGTCAACATCAAACCCCAGTTGGTTTGGATGGAATTTGAACCTCCTCTTGGCAAGTGGGAAACTGGCCCGTAACACCTCACCAATCCAGGAGCCAGGCACATGTTGGAAAAGATGCAAACCTGCTCTTCGTGCCGCTGCGCACATGCCTATGGGTCTTGTCCTCGATGTGTTGTGATGTTGTACATGTGGCATGGCTTGAAACCATTGAATGAAGAATTTGCATATTTCACCCAACGTGTGTCCCGAGCAACCTCTGAGAGGCAGCCACAGCTTGACTCCCAGCAAACTGAGAGTTGCAAAACGCCGGGCCCGTGGAAATCGGTTCGACACGCTGTGCCATTCCAAAAAGGTTTCTCATCCACTGCTGCACTTCAACGCAAAAGCTCGTGCTGCAATGATCGACGTGATGCATGCTGTTCATATTGGCGTGTTGGGCAAGCATCCAGAGTCCTGCGTCCGGGGTGTTGGGCCCTTTCGCCTCATTCTCCCATTTTATCGGCTTCGGCCGCCGAGAAATGCTGGAACTTGGCAGGGCATATGGGTGTTTTTTTGAAGCCACGCACCTGTTTCTTGCTGGTTTTAGAGCCAAAAGGAAGCCAGGGAGCCCACCATTTCTGGGGTCCCCGAAAAAAGCGCAGACACCATGCGTGCGTCGTTTTTGACGTGGGGCCGCCAGAGGGCCAGAGGGAAGCCAGCGGCTCATGTTGAGGTCCCGAGCCGCAGCGGTACATGGTGCACGTTGGCTGAGAGAGAGCCAGCTCAAGAGCTCAAGAGCTCAAGAAAGACAAACAGAGCTCAAGTCACTGGAGAGAAGCTTGGAGAATGGGTTTGGGGCAACTTTCAGGGCAAGGGAGACGCCATTTGAAATAGTAAATAGTCATGGGGATGGCCCGTATCACATATGTTCCACAACGGAGATTCTAGAAAAGGTTCTGTCTGCTCACTACCCAACAGGAAAGGATTTGCTCCTGACGCCGCAGGACAGCCTGCGGCGGCGCAGCTGAGGGCAAAAAGTGTGCGGTGGCTCTCCTGATCTAGGGGCCGCATGGCTGTGAAACAAGCTGGCTGGTATTTTGGGGGACGAGCAACTGAGAAGGGGTTGTCTAGTTACAAGAGCAACCGAGCAAACGGGAGGTTCCATGCGCCAGCCAGCAGGAATGCGAACTTTGGAGCAAGCTGAAGAACCTTACTGACGTCAACCCCGGATGAATATTCACCGGTACCCCTATTGGTTTGTTTGTTTGCTTGCTTGCTTGCTTGTTTGTTTGTTTGTTTGTTTGTTTGTTTGTTTGTGTTTTCAGGGTGTCCCCTTGTAGTGGGAATCTGTCACTTTTGTGGGTGACATTTCTTTTTAGCAGGGTAGATTGATTGAAGCCGGGGTTTTCATTCAGCAGAGGATCTCATGTACGTGCCTGATGAACAAACGCTTTGGGGTTGGAAGGGCTGGCGGACCTCAACCCTTTTGGATCGTAATTCAGAGAATTGGACTTGGATGTTCGTTGCCAAGCGAGTAAGTGGTTAGTCACTTGGGGTTTGTGACAGCAAGGTTAACCCCACTGCACGGGAGCCTTATACATGGGTTGTGACCTAGGTGGCAACTTACTAACTTGGCGAATCGAACACCCAAGTAAGGGTTCCTATTCACGGAACCTTCAGGAGTTGTGTCCGTTGCACGCGTCACAATCACCGACCATCACCGGATGCTGATGGCACTGGGTTTGACAAGGAATCAAACTCATACTGTGGATGGACGAATTCCTGCACCACTTTTGAAACAATGAAAAACAAGTGTTTGTTGGTAATGACAGGGAAATCATCATTCCGTGGTCTCTCAGGTGGTGCCGGATTTCGTGGTGTCCTTTTTGGTTGATTTTTGTAAGGAAATAGATGGCCCTGGTTTTCCTGTTGGTTTAATCGTCTACTAGGGCCATCTATTTTCCAAAGCACACCTATGATCGAACAGCTTTCAATGAAAAGTCGCCTTATCAGATGTCGAGATCTTTTTGAGGTTTACAAGCTGAGTTCGAAACGAACCAGTTTGTGGTGTGCTTGTTTTCGGAGCCGCACGCCTTTTGGGGCAGATCGTTTTGGAGCAACCCCGGCACAACCCCTCAGATACACGGGATTCGGGTGCCGACGTTTGCGCATGTCGACGGCTCAAAAGTTGGAAGTTAGGGGCCATCATGGTTTGCCGCTCGATTGCATGGGGGATGTGTGTCGGCGAGGTTTGTCTGAAGCGGTCTGGCCGAAGGACCCGCCCAAGATAGACTCTTTCGATGGGCCAAGTGCGAACGCCTTGTCCCTTTTCACAGCCGAAACCTGACATTCGGGACACAGACCCTTTGAAAGGAAAATGGTCCAAACTAGGACCCTTCAAAACGTCAGGTTCCATGTGGTGGGAATTGGTAGCTTGAATGAGACGGCCCAGTGTTCAAAGGAGAAGAATCTTGTACCGATCCGAAGCTGAACTGGAAACTCGGGTCATCCTTTGAGTAGATTGCTTGAAAGAGTCCTCAGTGAACCTCTGAGGACTCTCTCTCAACATACCCTGGAAGGCGTAAGCCTGTTGCCGCGGAGCTGAAGGTTCATCTATTGATGATCAAGTAATTATTGATGGCCATCTGTTTTGGGGCGGTTTTTTGAAAAGGGAGCAGTGACCCAACCATTTGGAAGGCATGACGAGCTGATTTTGACGGTATGCTTGGGTATCAGTCCAGATAACAGCCTGGGTTCAGGGGTCACACACAAATTTGCTCGCGACTTCCGGGGCTTGCCAAGCACAAAGTGTGGCGGCTCGAACTCGCTAGCTGAAGGGCTTTTGGGCTGGTTTGTGCAGGGACTTCATCTTTGGGATCAAGTCCTGGCGCATTTTCATGAGTGGGGTGATTTTGTTGTCCGCAAACCAAATTTGCGATTTTGGGGTTGGTTTTCCCACTCCCAACCTGTCACTGGTGGTACCAGTTGTCAAGACTTCTGCTTGTGTGGTACCGGCCACTTGGGCAGCGCAAGGCCAAAAGTGTGAGAAGAAGCTCGCGAAGCTGGCTCGGGACTC